GGAAGAATGGAATGTTGTACCGATAACACAGGTGTTCAAAGACAGAAACAATAACCCACCAATCATATACTGATGAGTAGAAAATGACAGCCTCATTAACCAATGTATGTTTGCCACAAACGTATACACTAGTTGCTAAGTGGATAAARGGGGCTTGTGCCTTCATAAAGTAGCTTTAGCTTTGTGTGTGTACCTGTGTCTTTGTGTCTGTTAATTCGTGTTGCTGTCTGGCCAACAGCGACACACGCCCCATGTCTGAAGCGAGTGGATGCTTAGAAGGAGCTGTGTGCTGCCAGGAGATTTGTGATAGTGGAGTCGGCCTTGGAGAACTGTTTTTCCTTTCTCCCATGAGGTAAAGAATCCCTTGCCATCAGCAGTTCTACACTGACTGTTTCTTGGGAAAAGACCTTCCACAGCTCGGAGCTGTAAGAACACTTTTCCTATGATGCTGGATGACAACCGTAATGAGTGGTTTGATCTATGTTAGACTTTCATTCCTGCTCCCCTGTGTGTGCAGGAAGACATGGGGGGGTGGAGAGGGACGACCTGAGAAAGAGATGGGTCCCGGAAAGAATAACAGGTGTCTTAAAATGTCCATTTTTATTTTTCTTCTCCTTGTATATTTTTCCCTATCTCTGTTCCCCTCCCCAGTGCAGTAGTTTTTTTAGTAGTTTTTAGCAATAAATCTATTTTGCAACTTAAGTTATTCAGCCTGTCTGACCATTCTCTGGAGCATATACATATCTTTCTCTCAATTATGTTATCTTATCTAAAAGCCATAAATTTTAGTGTTAATTGGGCTTTTTGCTCTCTCTTCTGCGTCTCCGGTGGGGGGAGGGAACGTCGTGGGTGCTTTTGGCTTTTGGTCAAGCTCAAACCACGACATTTTTGGTGCCGTGACTCAGATAAGGGAAAAAAAGGTTTAAACCCATGACAAGGAGAAAGCTTCTAGAACTTTCTCACAGGAGCCATCTTTGTGGTTTCCTGGTCCCATCCCCCCAACACCAAAAATCAGACTGAGTAAAACCACGACATGCCGTGATTCCTGGGCACAGGAATTC